TGTGGAGTCTCCTTCTCTGGAGATATTCAAGACCCGCCTGGACAAGGTCCTGTGCAGCCTGCTCTGGGTGACCCTGCTTGGGCAGGAGGGTTGGACTAGATGACCCACAGAGGTCCCTTCCAACCTCTACTATTCTGTGATTCTGTGATTCTGTGAAACAGCCAGCCTGCTCTTGCTCCCTAACAATCACTGCTGGCTTTGAAGTAAGGAATAATTTGCTTTTTCCTGGCCCTAATCCCTCGCAAAGCACAGCGCGGGAGAGCTCACCTCCGCAGCGCCGAGGCAGCGACTTCTTCTGCAGAGCAGGAACTTCCACCGCGCAGCTGAGCGCCGGCCGACAGCCCTGACGCGGAACGGCCTCCAGGTCAGCAGCTCGTGGAGGAAAGGCGCCAGGTCGAAGTAACAACAGTCACAGAGCAGCAGACAAAAGCGATTTCTGAGCACCGGCAGACAGATCTTTGCAAGGCTTTCTTTACAGGTCGCATCTGCTGTGACGGAACTGGCTGGAGGCCAGGACCCGGCTTTCCTGCGCCTTCGTAAGCGGTTCCAGCCGAGATCGGCTTTGCCACAACCAACGCCAGCCTTCCCGGTCCTCGCCAGGGGAGTCTGAGGGCAGGACCAGGCCAGCACCCTTCCTCCAGGGAAGGGCATCACCTCGCGACCCCCGCTCGGAGGGCGCCCACCACGACGCTGCCGGTCCCTGCTCTGCGGAGAAGCCAGCCGCATGGTCGCTGCGGCCCCTGCCCCTGCAGACACAAATCTGTCCGCTGCGGTGAGTCTGGCTGCTTTAGGCAAAAGGTTGGGTTCTTCAATCTCTCTTTTTCTGAAGGCTTGACCTCTGCTAGCAATAGCCTCTCTGAAACTCCCTGCCTGCCTCCTTTCACCAAGCTGGTCGGAGGGGCCGGAGGTAACCACAGCCCCTCTTTGCCCGGTGGTGGTGGGAGAGGGATCAGGAGAGCAACAACTCTTTGGGTCTTCATGTCAATAAATACGGGGGACCCAGGTGCTCTTGGCTCCCCAGGGTCTCAGGACAGCTCGATTCGGGAGGTCTGACCCAGCTAACTGCCTCCATCCCCACCACCCAAGTCACCCTGAATTCAGGGGCCGCCAGCCTGGCTCTGCAAACCGCAGGGCAGCACGGGCTGGGGCCGCGGGTAACAGCGCAGGGGAGGCGTGGGCCCCAGAAAGCCCCGCTCTCCCGTGGGGCACAGCCTTGCCCCCCGGTCCCTCCGTGCCGCGGGGACCTGCGACGCAGCACACAGCAGCCCGAGAGGGAAAAGCATCTCCAGGTCTGGGGACGCGCAGGGACCTCGCTGGCCTTCGCACCAGGGCCTGAAGGTGGTCTGCACCCTTCCCTGTGGCGAAGGGGATTTTCTTCTCTTCCAGCACACCTGGAGATATGAACGACATCCGTGCCATGAGCAACGCCGGCAACATCAGCGCCGCCGTGGAACTGTTCCAGCTCGTCGTGTACACCCCCACGCTTACCCTGGGACTGCTCTTCAACGCGATGGCTCTGTCGTGCCTGTTTTTTAAGGTTAAAAAGCTGACGGAATCTACAGTCTACATGACAGCCCTTATTTTCCTGGATACTTTGCTGCTGTTTACTCTTCCCTTCAAAATAATTTCCTACCACCTTAAGGACGACTGGAACTTGGGGTCTGTGTTTTGCTCCGCTTTGGAGAGTCTTTACTTTGTAAACATGTACGGCAGCATCCTCATCTCCCTCTGCATCTGCGTAGACCGGTACCTTGCCATCCAGCACCCCTTCATGGCTCGCACCCTGCGATCCCCCACGAAAGCCGCTCTGGTCTGCGCTGTCGTCTGCCTGGGCACCTCAGCAGGGACGGTCTCCACGTTCCAGCTTCACGGGCAGGGCCACGACATCTCGTCCTGCTTCCACAACTTCTCCGAGAGCACGTGGGAGAACACAGGCCTGTTCAGCGCCTTGGAAACCACCTTCTTCGGCACCATGGCGGCCATGACCTTCTGCACCGTCCAGACCATCCGGTGTTTGAGAAAGCTGCGGCAACCCGACAGCCCCCGAACGCAGGCCAGCAGAGCGGAGAAGATCGTGCTGACGAACCTGGCAGCGTTTTTGCTCTGCTTCACGCCTTACCACGTGGCGTACCTCCTGTACTTTCTGGTGAAGAACCACATCATTCACCCCAGCTTTCAGAAAGTCCTACGAGACACCATTCAGGTCACCCTTTGCTGGGCAAACCTCAACTGCTGTCTTGACGGGGCGTGTTATTATTTCGTTTTAAAGGAGTCCTTGGAAGACCCACTGCAAAACAGTGAACATGCAGTGACACAAAAGCCTTGAACCACACGCTGCGTGTTGCTGTTACTTACTTGGGACGACGCGTGGAGAGGGTTTCGTGGAAAGTACAGGGTCATGAACTACTTATCTAAGCAATTTACTTTAAATATTTAGATCTGAAAAGATTTCGTAAGAAACAAAACTGAGTCCATTCCCAGGAGAACACTCCTAACTTTTTTTATTTTCTTCTATAATGTTTTGTGTTTTAGCATTTATGAGTAAAAAGAAATGGAATTATTTCCTATGAAGGGTGATGTGTGTCTCTTTAGATGCGACTCCTCTTTACTTTGAAAAAAACGTTCTTTGCTTACACGCGGCAGCATCCTTCAGCCTCCCTGTCTGCATCGCACCTGCAAACCCCCCAGGCCGTCAGGCACTACAGGCTCGGGCTGCTGAGAAACAGAGGCTTGGAGCTCACGGTAAACAGCTCTAGGCTAGGTTCTCTTGCCTGCCCTGCTCAGGTGTGCTCGTGCTGACCCACACGCACACCGGTCGGGTTTAGATTCGCACATGCTATTTGAAAAAATACAGCGATTGCCACTCTAAATCCAAAGGCAGCTTTAGGTTAACGTGGCTATAGCAAGATCTCCGTGCCATTCCTCCACTGGAACGGAGTGCAAGGTGCGGTGCCTGTTTTAGCGACAGGTCCTGTGCCTCCCGACATTGCCGCTAGCTCGAGCCCCCGGACAGCTCGGACCAACGGACTGCCCCGGTTCCAGGCTTCCTCGCCAGCTCCTCTCCTGCTCGCAGGCTTTTCACCCATCTGTTCCCTCCCTCTCAGTTACAAACCTGGCTTCGTGAGCAGAGCCAAGCCAGACGAGCACGAAATGAAAAGCCTGAGCCCACCACAGTGGCAAACTCGGGGATCTGAAGGAACAACCCCCGCCTCACCGGGGGATCAGAGAAGAGCAGCCCTGGTCCCCACAGCAGCGTGGGATCCCAGGGGGAGAGCATTCCCCCAGAGCAGTGGGGGATCCCAGCAGAGAGCATTCCCCAGAGCAGCGTGGGATCCCAGGGGGAGAGCATTCCCCCAGAGCAGCACGGGATCCCAGGGGGAGAGCATCCCCCCAGAGCAGCGCGGGATCCCAGGGGGACAGCAGCCTTTTGGACCCCGCAGCAAGCTGCGCATTCCCACTTCCCAAACAAACC